GGGCCCCGCCTCCCCCTCCTCCCCCGGGTTCTGCCTCGCGCGCGGGGGCTTCCAGGGGGCTGCCGGGCGGGGCGGGCGCGGAAGGGGCGGGGAGCGGCCCGCCAGCCCGGCACTGGCAGCGAGCGCCGAGCGAGCGGCGCGAGGGAGCAGGGAGCAGGGCTCGCCCCCGCGCGCCCGAGCGGAGCCTTTTGTTCCGGCGCGAAGTTAGCATGCCGGGCCCGTGACAGCTGCGGGCGGGGGCCGGCGGGCCGGCGGCGGCGAGGAGAGGCGGCTGCTTGACATGCAGCCCGCGGCGCGGCGGCGGCGGGCCGGGGACTGGCGGCGGGGGAGGCGGCACCCACAGCACGCGGGCTCCGCGGCCGGAGGGACAAACTAACTTCCCGAGCGGGACCGGAGGCCGCGAGGCCGGAGCCACCTGCCAGCTGCGGTGAGGCGACCCGGCCGCCGGGCGCGCGGCACGGCGCGGGGGAGTGGGCCGCGCTGAGCGAGCTCCGAGCTCCGAGGCCCGCGCCGCCGGGCCCCCCTCGCCTGGCTCTGCGGCCGCCGCGCCGGGCTGTGCTGGGAGCCACAACAATGCCATGATGTTTGGGAGACAGGAAGCCCCGGACTGGTCCCGAATGGAGGACTTCCTGTGTTTAAAGTTGCAGGAATATCCGCCGACCAGCCCAGTTCAATTGCAAACACGCGAACTAGGGAGAAGGAATGGCTAATTCAGACCAGCTGGACTCTCCAGGGGTGGAACTGAGAATAAAATGAGAGGAATTCTTAGGAGCTTGGGCTATACATGAAGACTAGAGGGGCTGTGCCATTGTTAAAGGACACGATCGGTATAAATCCTGCTTCCAACTCTCCTTGGATGAGAAGTGAGTGGAACTAGATATTGAATAAGACTTGTCAATATCAGGTGATTTTTTTATTGCTTAAATTAGAAAGAGCCGTGCTCTTTAAAAAGAAGCCATACAAAGAATTATTTTGTTTGTTGAATAAATTATACCACTTATCTGCAACTATGAGACTGCTAGCCTGTGAAAAAAAAGCTGTTCCTCTTAGAGCGTCTCCCAGGATGGTTTCAAAGTGGAACTTCCAGGCCTTTCTAGAGGGTAAATCCAGTTGGTTGGTTGGGATTATGAACATGTAAAGGAATTTTTAATTTACACAGAATGCATTTTTGGGGAATTCATGAAAAACATTTAAAAGGTTGATGGTTCGTTTTGATTGAAGAAGTATGGGTAAGCCACTCAGCAGGCCAGACTGTTTAAGGCGGAACCCCACCTGCCTGGGGAAAGGAGAGGAAGAGGATGGCTATATAGAGGATTGCTATGTTCCACAGCGGTCTATATATGACACAATGAGGATAAATGAACAGATTGACCAGGGGTCAAAGCTTAATCAGACGTCAAAAAGCACCATGGAAAAGATGGAAGGAAGTACTATATCCAGCAATGGTACCTTAGGAGCAGCATCTAATGTTTTTGAGTCTAGAGCACCAGAAGGCAAAAAGCTAGATGAGCGAATAATATTTGATGCACTGAAGCTAAGCAGTGATGTGCAGAAGTTGGCACCTGTGCCACCCAGAAGGCGACCAAATGCAGAACGCAAAGACAATGTTAACAGGAGATCATGGAAGTCCTTCATGCCACCCAATTTCCCAGAATTTGCAGAAAGGATGGAAGCTTCTCTCAGTGAGGTTTCAGAAGCTGGTGCTTCAAATCCTTCCTTGCAAGAGAAGAAGGAATCCAGTTCTGCATTAACAGAAAGTTCTGGCCATTTGGGCAACAGGGAACCTCAGTTAGAATCAGTAACTCTGGAACATGTGTCCAAATCCATAGGCATTCCAGAAGTGCAGGATGTGAAAAATGTAAGTGGAGACTGCCAAGACTTCAGATTTCAGCAGCACAGTGAGAGCTCTCCCCATGAATTCCAGCCTCTAGAATCAGAAGCTGCAGCACCAAGTGGTAACACAGATCTAATGCAGGAACACAGATTCTCAAGTGCAACCTGGCCCAGAGCCATGAAAAGTTTGGCTAAGGGAGGCTTTAGAGAGAAGCAGCACCCCCTTGGGGACACAGCTTGCACTGTGGAAATGCCACCTCTCTCCCCTTGCCTGAGTGAAGAGCTGTTGGATCCAGAGTTGCATGTTCTCATAACCCCCAGCCTAAGAGAGAAAACAGAGTCTGAACTAAAGTTTGAGGAAGATGAGCGATGGATTATGATGGAGGCTGAGGAGGAGTGGGAGGAGGAGAAACTGTCAGAGAGAGGAAAGACTTTTCTAATGGCAGATGAGAAAAAGAACAGCCTGGTGGATATTTTTGAAGAAAGAGAACAAGCAAACACTGTAGCAGTGGTAGAGGATGGGTCCCATTGCTCGGCTGCTGTTTTGGAGACTTTAGACCACCTAGCTCTTGGTCATATTTGTTGCTCTGAAGACCTACAGCCAGCTGAGAACCACGTGGCTTCTGTTCTTGAGGATACACCTCTTGATTACAGTTATATTCTCACAGGTGAGAGTGCTGTAGGTGAGCTGAAAAACAAAACTGCCCAGGAGCTAGAGGGCCTTGTTTCCAATTTAGAATACACTGTTGGTCCTGTCAATTCGGAGCAGCTCTCTGACACAGATTCAGTGCAGATGTTTCTTGAACTTGAAAAAGAATGTTTATGTGAAGAAGAAATAACTCCTCTAGTTGAGCAGGAGAACCAAGCTTCTGAAGGGCTGGCCCCATCCCAAGATACAGAAAATTCACTTGTAATTAGTAATTTTCCAGGGGCTGCCTTAGAAGAGGAACATGTAAGGGTGAAAGGTGATAATGCTGGATTGGATTGTGAATATTTTAATGCCCTGGATTCTTCTCAGGTGCCTAATGCTGTGGAACTTACTGCCCACTTTGATATCGTGAGGGACATTCCCACTGTTAGTGCGGAGTGTGAAAAAGTGCCTTTTAGCCCCGAGACTGCAGGGGAATTTAAGTTCAGACACCCAGCTGACCTGGAGTCACCGGGAAAGCTGGACCCAGGAGGATTGCCCAGCTCTGATTGCAGAGCTTCTCATGAAGAAAACCTATCAGCCTGTGAAGCTGAGCTAGCCAAAGAAAACGGCAGTTTGTTCCAGGTAGACTGCAGTCAGATTGAGGGGAATGTTGAGAGGTCCCCCCTCAGTTCTGCTTTTAGCTGTGAACTAACAGATATTATCTCAGGATCTGAAGTAGAGGTGTTATCATATGGTTCACATTTACTAACAGATGAGATTCATTTGGAAAATGAGGAAGGAGCTATTAATCAAGAAAACAGTCTGACTTCCTTGGGAACTGTGGACCCTTGTGAGTTGTCCATGGAGAAAGTTTATGGTGAGGCACAAGAGCTGGGTTATGAAGCCCAGCTTTTGGAGGACCAAGCCCTAGCACATTTTCATAGAGACTTCCCAGAGCAGGTCTTCCAGGATCTCCAGAGAAAGTCCCTAGAGTCAGAGATTCAGAGTCTGCACCTGCTGGATGGAGGACAGAGACATAGCAGTGATGGAGAGGGAACTGTGAATGACCTAAAGCCCAAGCTGAGTGGAGGGGAGACAGAAATGAGAGATTCAGAATCATTGCTAAATATCTTTATGGGGGAACAAGTTACCAAAGCTAGTAATACTGAACCAATTTTGGAGGAATGGATACCCATCCCAGAGAAACCTGCCCCAACTGCTGTAATGCCCACTGTAGAAGATGCCCTAGATGCTGCAGTGCCCACCCCAGAGGGAACTGCTGTAGCTGCTGTCACAGTGCCCTTTCCAGAGGAGGACATGCCAGTTGCTTCCGTGGTCACCATTGAGGCATATGTCCCAGCTGTTGCAGTGCCATCCACAGGGGAGGACATCCCAGAGGGCTCTGTCATCCCAGCTGCTCCAGAGGAGCCTGATACTGCAACTGTTAGAGTGCTCACCCCAGAGGAGCCTACAGCCCCAGCTGCTGCAGTGCCCACCCCAGAGGAGCCTACAGCCCCAGCTGCTGCAGTGCCCACCCCAGAGGAGCCTACAGCCCCAGCTGCTGCAGTGCTCACCCCAGAGGAGCCTACAGCCCCAGCTGCTGCAGTGCTCACCCCAGAGGAGCCTACAGCCCCAGCTGCTGCAGTGCCCACCCCAGAGGAGCCTACAGCCCCAGCTGCTGCAGTGCCCACCCCAGAGGAGCCTACAGCCCCAGCTGCTACAATGCCCACCCCAGAGGAGCCTACTTCTCCAGCTGCTGCAGTGCCCACCCCAGAGGAGCCTACAGCCCCAGCTGCTGCAGTGCCCACCCCAGAGAGCCTACAGCCCTAGCTGCTGCAGTGCCCACCCCAGAGGAGCCTACTTCTCCAGCTGCTGCAGTGCCCACCCCAGAGGAGCCTACAGACCCAGCTGCTGCAGTGCCCACTCTAGAGGAGCCTACAGCCCCAGCTGCTGCAGTGCCCACCCCAGAGGAGCCTACAGCCCCAGCTGCTGCAGTGCCCACCCCAGAGGAGCCTACAGACCCAGCTGCTGCAGTGCCCACTCTAGAGGAGCCTACAGACCCAGCTGCTGCAGTGGCAACCCCAGAGGAGCCTACAGACCCAGCTGCTGCAGTGCCCACTCCAGAGGAGCCTACAGCCCCAGCTGCTGCAGTGCCCACCCCGGAGGAGCCTACAGACCCAGCTGTTGCAGTGCCCACTCTAGAGGAGCCTGCAGGCCCCAGCTGCTGCAGTGCCCACCCCGGAGGAACCTGTCCCCCCAGTTGATAGTGTGCCCACTCCCAAGGAAACCCCCTACTCGAGCTGCTTGCAGAGCCTGCTATGGAGGAAAGTGTTCCCTTGCTGGGTGTTCCCCATTCCTGGGAAGATATTGTTCACACTGATTCCGGTGCCTATATCAAAAAGAAAGAACTCCCTTGTTCCTAGGGGGAGTCTTTCCTCCACTGGAAATGTGGGATCAAGGGAGAACCTTTGATTTCTTCCCGCATTTGGGATAAAAGAGGTGACTGGCACAGTGCTGCATGGGAAAGTGCCTCTGGCTACAACTGATGGATTAAATTCAAATGAGGTAATTGTTGCTCATTTTGTTGGGGGAGAATCATGAAGAGAAAGGGGAGATTTGCCAGTTCTCTGAATTGGTGGTGATTAGAAAGGCACAGGTAGTTCTTTCTTTGGTTCTCTTTGGGGCTTCTGGTATTTTCTGGTCTTTTTATTGAGTTTATGGGGGGAAATATGTCTTACTTTCACTTGGCAAAACTATAATTTGTTGTTTTTTTTATTTAGAAATAACAGAAGCCTAAGGAAGACAGGGATGTATACAGTTGTTAGTTTACATTTTGAAAAAAGATTATTAGCAGGAATGGGTGACTCTTTTTTTGAAATTACAATAAGCATGTTCTTTGCCTAAATCAAATTGATCAGTGATTATCAGCAGTCACATAGAGGCTAGGATATAGGTTTTGGAATGAGACCTGGGATACTTCTTAACCACTTTGGGAAAATTGGTTAGATGTCCTGAGTCTCCAGTTTCATCATTTGTTAAGGCAGAACCCTGTGAATTTTGTGAGGATGAAATGCCATAACCCATTGAAATCATCAAGTGTATTAGATTTCAGTCACTGTGAATATCCTCCCCCTTTCCCTTTCAAAGAGATATGTTGGTTAGTTGAAAGAATTCACCAAAGCATGTTGGGTTAAAGCAATATACAGATGTGCAAATTATGGTTTTTTAATATAAAAGCTGTTTATTAAAACCAAAATAAGTCATAATGTTTATGAAAAAGAGAGGTATTTCAGTCATCTTGTCAAACTTTGTGTCCTGAAGCAAGTCACTTTCCTTTTGTGTACCTCTTGTTTCTTAATCTCTAAAATAAGGGAGTTGGGCTAAATGTTCTCCTGGGTCTCCCAGCATGTTGGGTTAAAGCAATATACAGATGTGCAAATTATGGTTTTTTAATATAAAAGCTGTTTATTAAAACCAAAATAAGTCATAATGTTTATGAAAAAGAGAGGTATTTCAGTCATCTTGTCAAACTTTGTGTCCGTGTAAACTCGGGCCGATTGTAACTGCGTATTACCAAATATTTGTTTGTAATCCACCCTTTTGGTGGATTCTCCTGGGTCTCCCTTAAAGATTTTTAAATTCTTAATGTTAGAGAACAGACTATGTTAGGAAGCTGTTGGGAACCAGTGTTCACATCTTTGAGCACTCCCAGGTCAAAGGAATTTGAGATCTGCAGATTCTAGAGTTCACTGCCCTGCTGTCGTTTGATCAGTGGTAAGCAGTGGAGTGAAGGAGTTAAAAGTTTAGTCCTGGCCAGCTGGCTCAGTTGGTTGGAGCATTGTCCTGTACACCAAGAAGTTGCAGGTTCGATTCTGAATCAGGGCACATACCTAGGTTGTGGATTGCATCCCATACAGGAGACAACCAATAAATCCTCAGGTGAAGATTAATTTAAAAAAAAAAAAATGAGCCATAACCGGTTTGGCTCAGTGGATAGAGAGTTGGCCTGCAGACTCAAGGGTCCCAGGTTCGATTCCGGTCAAGGGCATGTACCTTGGTTTCGGGCACATCCCCCGTAGGGGGTGTGCAGGAGGCAGCTGATAGATTTTTCTCACTCATCGATGTTTCTAACTCTCTATTCCTCTCCCTTCCTCTCTGTAGAAAATCAATAAAATATATATTTTTTTAAATGAAAAGTTTAATATAATCTAATATAGCCAGGGGTTTCTGAGTGTGGAGGTGGTTTTGGTTTTACACTATCCTCAGGACCCCAATAGTACCTTCCTTGTAGTAGGCATTCACTGTTGATTGACTGACTGAATGAGTATTAATCTCCATGGATACTACAAGAAAGATGGGTTCTGCCCTGGTGGGTAGTTCAGTAGATTAGAGTGTTGTTGCTATATGCCAGAGTTGCGGGTTTAATCCTTGGTCAGGGCACATTCAAGAATCAACCAATGAATGCATAAATAAGTGGTACAACAAATCGATGTTTCTTTCTGTCTGTCTGTCTATCTCCATCTCTCCCCCTCCCTCTCTCTCTCTCTCAAATCAATAAATAAAAAATGGGGAAAAAGAAAGAAGGGTTGTTCGCTCATCCACTCCATTGTAGAGCCTTAGCTGGCTACAGTTCATTTAAACATGCAACTACCAGCAACAAAAAATCATTTTGACGGTGATCCATAAGCTGCCAATTTTGCCACAGATCCCTCCTGGTGGTACCATCTTGGGCTTCACCAATTATTTTGTAATGTATCATTCTATCAAATTAGAATGCATCACCTTTTAGATAGATGGGTTTGATTCGGTTTTCTGAGTTTTAGTGAATTTGGGATTAACACCAAGATCCCAGTGTCCTATCCAAAGTCACTGACTGGCATTATTAGTTATACAGAATATTTCTAGTATAAAGCCTACAGCAGTAGTCAGTGAAATACAGAAACTAAATTTATAAGGAGCCAATCAAATCTGCATAAAAGAAAAAATTCAGGGAAATCCTTAATATCAGTCTCTGGGATCTCTGTTTCCCCATCTACAAAATGAGTAGATGGAGCTACATAATCTCTTAAAGATCCTTCTAGCTACAGTAGGTTAGTCATTTCATGACATGTTCCTGTCATAAATGACAGGAGAAGGAAATAATAGCCCAGCTGCAAGGTAGTTCATCACCTTTGAAGTATGGTTACTTTATGGAATATCTGGAAGCAAGATGCCTACATCTTTGTGCAAAAGGAGAAATCTGCTCCATAGCCATAGCCAGGACTATTAACCAATAAGAATGTAGAGAGGCTATTTTGAAAGTATTTATTGAAACAAAATAAATGTCACTATCGAGTATACAAATCTTGCTAAATTGATTTTTAAAAAGTTTTTCCAAGATGAAAACTGTATGGATTTCATTTCTTCCAACAGGGTTTCTAGAGGAAATTGAACCTATCATTTTTTACATAAACACTTAGAACTCGACAAGTGATTGTATTCAGAATGTGATCTACAGTGACCTGCTTTAGATCCTCTGTGTATGTCTGTACAAATGTATGCGTGTATACATGGTTTAAGTAGATGTAAGCTTTTTAATAGCAATAATGAGAATTTGGTAAAGAAGCAAAATGTCAGAATTTGTTTGCTATTTCTATAGTGGGATCTAGGCCCACTGAGAGCAATGTGTAGTTACTTAAATGCTCTTCTCATTTATAGACTTCCTTAGTCTTATTTCCAATCACTGGGGAAGAAATAAACCTTTTGTATAAAATAGGGGTTCTATAAAATTAAAACTTGCCCAAAAAGTCTTTAAGCAAAAATTGGAGAGCCCCAGAATCTCCGTTCAGTGTTTGAATGCTTAACCGATAAGCAGAACCTTCATGGATTTGTTTGCTTTCCCTAATACTATTTCTATACAATGATTCATTTATTCATTGAATAAGGAATAAGAGATATATTGAATTTCAATTGTGGTGTCAGGGAAAGGATTTTAAAACTAAACCTAAAGGATAAATACAAGTTACTTAGCAAAGAATCAGAGGGAAGAACATCCCAGACAAAGGAAATGGAAGCTGGGAAGAACTTGGCATGTTAGAACTAAAAGACCAAGGGGCCAGGCCACAGCGACTAAGGGTTCTGAAAGAGTGCCTTGAAGTGAATCTAAAGAGGGGATGCAGTGACTGAGAAAGACATCCTCAAAAGTATCATACTTTAGCCCTAGCCAGTTTGGCTCAATGGATGGAGCGTTGACCTGCGGACTAAAGAGTCCCAGGTTCGAGTGCGGGCAAGGGCTCATGCCTGGGTTGCTGGCTTGATCCCCAGAGGGGGGCATGAAGGAGGCAGCTGATCAATGATTCTCTCATCATTGATGTTTCTAGCTCTCCCTCTCCCTTCCTCTCTCTAAAATCAATAAAAACATTTTTTCTTTTAATCACACTGGCTACTGTGTGTAGAATGGATTTAAGAAATCAAGGACAGTAGAGAGGCCTGCTAGGCTACTGCAATTATCCAGGTTGCTTGGACTAGAGAGATGTAAGTAGATTTGAAGACAGTTGGATGGATTCAAGATATATTTTAGTGGTAGAATCAACAAGACCTGACAATGGCCTCTATTTTAAGAGGGAGGGAGAGGAAATATTAAGGATGGCTTCTAGGTTCTGGTTTGTGCGACTGAGTGGATGGGGACAGTAGTATATTGTTGATTTAGGGAAGAACAGGTTTGCGGGGGGGAGTAGGAAGTACTGTTCAGTTTTGGAATGGTTAGGTTCAAGATGCCTGTGAGTCATTTGCATGGCAATGTTAAGAAAGTAGTTGGATATACATTTTTAAAATCATAAGCATTTATCACGATTAACATTTAAAGCCATAGGAGTGGATAGAATTGCCTAGATGAGAGTATAGAATGAGAAGAGGGCCCAGGACTGACATTCTTCCCTTATCCCCACCCCAAACACTAACATTTGGAGGTGTAGAAGAGAAAGAGGAAGAGAGCAAAGGACATCAAAAAGGATCAGTTAGGATGAAAACTGAGAGAATATGGTATTACCAAAGATAAAGGTGTTTTAAGACATTCTTTGGGAAATTTTCTGTTTTATGTCTCTGTTGTATCTTACGTACATCATGCAATAATTTTTACTAGTATTCTGCTGTGGGAAATGTCTGCCAGCTCTGGTTAGTTAATAATATGGCACAGTCCTATTGAAATACTAAGGAGTAGGAATTTTAATGTGTCTAAAAGCACTGAGTTTGCAAAACAGCTTTATTTGAGAGTTGAGAGAAGGGAGCAAGTGTTTTTCAAATTTACTTTCTTTAATTATTCTGTTCACTTGTATTCAAAATAAATATTTAGGTAGCATTTTCTTGGAAGTGCTTTCATATATTTTTAACTTTCTGAAAAAAGATGAGAAAAATACCCGTATCTGTCAACACAGTCCATAGAAAGGAGGTAGGAAACAAAGGAAGAAATCTAATGCTTCTATAGGAAATATTCATACACAAAGTAAATTCAAATTTCAATAACAGATTTAGCTGTTATATAAAAGAGATTACGATACTTACTTTTCTGTGCCATTCACCTTATTATCCAATAGAATTTCTTGCCAAAGTGGATCTCTTCTCTATCTGTGCTTAAGTATAGTAGGCACTAGCCACATGTGGCCGT